AAACACAAATATAATGCCGACGAAATAACATCCATAGAGATGCAATGGCAACGGTTAACGTTACATATTTGGAGTAATTTAGACTCAACTGTAAAATTTTGGGCCGAAGTTTATCAATTTCGAAATGCCCTAGTAGAAAACCCTTTTGCTGACCTTTCCAACCTAGTTTTTAGTTTTCTTGTTTTGCCTATAAGTGATGCAGAAGTAGAGCGAATATTTAGTTCAATGAATATAATAAAAACTAAGCAAAGAAATCCAATGTGCGTTAAAACGTTAAACGCTATTTTATATATAAGATACGGTTTAAAACGTGAAGAAAAATGCTGCCATAATTTTACTGTAGATGACGATCTCTTAAAATCAATGAATTCAGGTGATATATACAAGAGTGATTCATTTGATGATGAGGAATATACACTCGATATAAATTAATGGTGTTAAATAGTCTTTCGTTTCTTGCGATTTATTTAAATAAAGCATGGGGATTTTCACTAAAACATTTTAGCCGTTTTTTGCCAGAGTCTATGTGAAATTTCACTAAAACATTTTAGCCGTTTTTAGCCGCTTTTTTTTGCCAATCTAGCCGGTCGGCCCAAAAAGTTCTGGCAACACTGCCCACCATAGATATGTCTACATACTAAATTTCAAGTTCATGTGACTTATGGTTCCGAAGTTATGGCTGATTAAAACTTCAAAGCCTACTGGATGTGGCACGCCCCCTTTTATAAACTCATTTATATCAACCTTACCATAAGCACCTACCTAGATATGACTTCATATCAAATTCCAAATTCATGTGACTTATGGTTCCGTAGCTATAGCTGAAACAAAATTCCTCACCCAAGGGATGTACCACGCCCCCTTTTATAAACTCATTAATATAAACCTTACTATAAGCGTCTCCTATAGACATACCTTCGTACCAAATTGCAAGTTCTTTTGACTTATGGTTCCGAAGTTCTAGCTGATTAAACATTTGCAGGCCTATTGGAGGAGCCACGCCCCCTTGGGACATATTTGCAAATAAAATCATACCTATAACCTTCCCGGGGTAAAAACAAATAAGTCTGCTAAGCTTCGTGCGACTCCATGTCGTGGTTCAAAACTTATAACGTAATAAACAAACAGACATTCACATTTATATATATAGACTAGCTGTACCCTGCGCGAGTTGCTACGCCACCAACTAAAATAAATATGAAGGAAAGACATTACACAAATATTCAATTCATTTTGAGTCCTTTTATTGATTTTGTTCATTTTGAAAAAATTGTGACATTGCAGCGTTTCGTTTCAATTCGATATTTATTGAAGTGCTGTGGGATACACAATATTTCTTGTTTTTCCATCTGGTGTGTAAACGAATAAATCGGAAGGTTTTCCGACGCGTGAGCAGGCCACATAGAGCTGCCCATGTGAGAAGCATGGATTCTCCAAATTTAATCCACACTTGCAAAGATTGTCCTTGTGCTTTGTTGATAGTCATTGCGAAAGCAAGTCGCACCGGGAACTGCAAACGTTTGAATTCGAATGGCATATCTGTCGGGATTATTGGGATGCGTGGCAACAGTACGTCTTCACCTTTGAATTTTCCAGTCAAAATTGTTGCTTCGATAACATTGTTCATCATTTTCAAGACTGAGAGTCTGGTTCCGTTGCAAAGTCGTGGTGGATTTATGTTTCGAAGAAGAATGATGGGTACGCCAATTTTCAATGTTAGAACGTGCGGTGGCATGCCTGGCAAATCAAGCGAATTCAAGAATTCAGTTGGATGGGTGACAACTTCGTCTTGATTCACCACAGTATCGATGGACTTATATTTGTCGTTTCGCCGGGTATTCCATTCTGAATAGTGAAGTTGATGGTATTGATGGTATTGACAACTATGTTTTTGACCGCTAATATAGCACGCGTACTGAGCCACTGATGATTTTTGTAGTTCTGTGCAATCTTTAGGAATACCTTTTGCACCAATTCGGCTATGCTTTCTGTGATCCTACAGAAGTTTGCTGGCAAGGTAATACATTGTGTAGAATCATCAATTTGCATTCGCCCATTTCCAATATCCATTAATTCTTTTGCAAAATGGTGGTATAACCGGCAGTGTTTGTCGAAAATCACCAGACAATGAAATGAGTGCACCGCCGAAGATCCGTGTGTTTCCCCTCAAATCCCGCAGTGTACGATCAAGCGCTTTCTTGTGAGACATTGTACATTCGTCCCATATGATGATTCCAGAGTTTTTACTGATGTTGCATGTTAGTGCCTCAGTGTTTTGTAAATTCAACGGAAGTTTCAATGCTGAACGCGCTGTTCGATCGCCATCCAAAAGAGTTGCCGTAATTCCAGATGATGCAATGGCCAGTGAAATATTATTTTGTGATCGTATGGCTGCCAAACTCAGTGAAAGAAGAAAAGTCTTGCCTGTACCATCAGGCGCTTCTATGAAAAACAGTCCACCGCTTTGTTCTGTGATTGCACGCATAATTCTGTCATACGCAATGCGTTGTTCTGGAACCAACTGCGGAAGATTTGTCTGAACAAATGTTTCCAGTTCGTCAGAATCAAAGTGTGTTTCTCGTTGCAAATCACGATCGAAAATGTCGTTCGCTGGTCGGTTCGGAGCAGGCATTCCCAGTAGCACCAGTGCTTTGTTAGCGATTACCAAACATATGCCTTCAATCAAAATCAATGCCTCATTATACACGTTTGGTGTGAATTGAATGTCCAGATTTTGATTCGCAGCTCGCAAGCGATGTAGAATATCTTCACTCATGTAGTCCTTGTATTTTTCCCAAAGTTCTTTTGGATTAGATGGGAAGCAGGTTGTCAATATTACGGCAAATAACGTGCGCATTTTCTGTGGTCGCGCAGTATTCGATGCATATGCGAGCGCAGTGTCCCAATGTGCATCATCCTCAAGAAGATTTAGCTCCTGGCAAGCTTGGCGATAAGTGGCGTACAGCTGACCGTTGACTGCTCTTAAATCTTGGAAGGATGTTGGTCCACGTACATTGATTAACAGCAATCGCAGATAGAAGCACTCTGTATTGTTCGGGTGAACAGTGTACAGACGACCCAGTGCGTCACAGGAAGACAAATTGGGATGTCCTTAAACTGCTTTACCTTGTTTTGCGACGTTGAAACTTTTTAGCCGATGCATTCCATGTGTAGAGTCTTTGCGAAAATATCATTCTGGCACAGTGAGTAAAATGGAGTTAAAGTTGTTGCCGGTGGAACCAATGCTCTTGCACGTACATTATCTGCTGTGAAGTACACGCGCTGTCCATTCTCGAGGTGCACCGCCAAGTGTACTACTGTTTGATGTCGTTGATGGATTGCAAATGATAAGATGCGCCATACTGCCTCATTGATGCTAATGTAGCGTCCAAGTTGGTATTGGTTGATTTCATCGAGCTGTGCGGCCACATTCCCTACTCCGAAGACTGCCATGTCGCTTCCTTTGTTGACATATTTGCAAATGTTTTTGATCGACTTCACTGAATTGCAATACTCAACATTAATGTGTGCTTTGAAGATCTTTGAGAGCAACGGTGAATATGGCACAACCCAACGATTATCGACTTCAACATCAACGTTTCGTACTTTCAGAACGATGGATTTGCCGCCATCCTCAACTGATCGTCGACGATACAGTGGGTATCCGTCATTGCCAGTGATGTTATCAGAAACCAAGTTTCTTGGTTATCGTTTCGTACATGTCCCATCAGACATGCATGGAGAATTGTTATTGAATGCGCCACATGGACCATGGATCATATTTTTGGTAACGACGTCGAATAAGTCTAGATAAATGTCCTTATCAGGTATTTCTGCTGAGATGATTTGGTCAATTTTATCTGGCGTAATTTTGTTGCTTAACCAAACCAAAATATGTGCATGTGGCAATCCTCTTTTCTGCCATTCAATGGAATACATCCAGCATCGTGTCTCCCCAAAAACATGATGCTTGTTAATAAAATAGAGCTGCAAAAACATCGGAGCACTATCGATAGTATCGATGTTTTAATTTTTTTTTAAACATCGATGTTTTCTTTACTATCGATGTTTTTAGAAGATATGCCATCTTAAGAAAATGTATCCGTTGCTGATGTGTGGTAAGCAAGAAATATAAAAACTAAAGCGAAGGTTATAAACTCATATTTTTTTATAGTTTAGCCAAATTTTAATTGGCGTTGGTGGTTAGCAAGGATGGATAAATTCGTGGAAAAAGCACCAAGAGGTAATTATAGTTTTTCATGATAGTGCGTATTTATTTTTATGTGTGAGTTCGTATAGAGAGAAACATGTCAACCGTTGGAAGTGTCAGCGAATGCAGCAATAACACTAGCAGAATTGGCAAATCAGAAGTTTGGAAATTTTTTGAAAAGATTAAAAATGGAACGAGCGCTAGGTGCAAAGCTTGTGGAAAAATTTATAAAACTAGCGGCAACACATCGAACCTCAGAGATCATCTCAGGCGATTGCATCCTACTATCAAATTATGTGATTTGCCCAGGTCATCTGGTAGCATTTTGCCATTCATTGAAAACAAATATGATAAGTTTTCTGCTCGCAAAAAGGCTATTGATAATGCAATTTCTGAGTTTGTTGCCTGTAGCATTCAACCCTTCAGCCTTGTCGATGAGAAAAGCTTCCGAAAATTAATAAATGTGCTGGACCCTCGCTATGAGGTGCCGTCTAGGACGACGTTGAAGCACGTGCAGATGGAGAATTTGATCAAATGAAAGCAAAGTTGTCTTCCACTCTGGATAAAATTGAGCATCTTGCCATTACAACAGATCTGTGGACATCGCTGGCGAGCAAGTCCTTTATCACCATCACGTGTCATTTTGTAGACGAAGCTTTTATTTTACGATCAGCAGTGCTTTCAATAAATATTTTGCTAGATGAAAGCAACCATTCAGCACAAAATATTGCTGACACAGTGCGCTTGGTTCTGG